AAGCATCATAGCAAGAGTTAAAATTCAGAAACGAGAGCAAAAGAGTATTTGTTCCATTCGTGAAGTCTAAAGCGAGGCCGAGAAAGAATGACGCCCTTGGGCTTGGGATGTGTATAGGGCAACGATGTAGGCAAGGCAAGTAGCAAACTTTAAGCCCAAATGAACCTACCCATACACTGTTGGACTTGAGCAAATGATGCCCTTGGGATGTCTGCTGCCATGGACCGTTGCCCCTCTAGCCTATTGCAAGGGCCGGCCCTAATAAAGGATACACAACAATTAAACAATTAGATAATTTTACTTACTTTATTTTGTTACCGTCAAAACCAATGTCATCATCCATCATTTTTTTACATCGACTTAACGACCATTCTTAATCAAAAAAGGGATGATGGTAATTTTCTTTTACCCCTTAAGTCCTAAAATCTCCATTGTTGATTTGGTAACCAGAATAAAATCTAGAACACTATTATTTGGTAAAGAGAATCGTTAAATTATAATATCATCACAACAATAATCTATTATTAATGGGTTTGTTCCAACAATAATCTATTATTAGTGGGTTTGTTCCAACAAAATCATTATCAAATATTCCACGATGAAGAATGAGAGCATGAGTATTGCCAAACGAAATGAAGAACAAAGACAGCTGCAAAACTTGATGCAGTGAAGAAAGAAAGAATATAGAGTGAGAGATCGAGAACACAATGTTGGGCAAAAAAGGGACAAGAATATATAAGTCTGGGCACTGTTATCTATTTGAAGCATAACCGTTAATTTCTTTTGTTTTCTTCAATGCTTCTGAATATCCTGATGGAACCAGAAACAGAACCTGAAGAACAATCTCGAAAAGCATGGAAAACTTGAATGTCCGATTTTTGTCGAGTGTGTGACGTCATTCTTAGTAACTGATATCTTGAATAAAATACGAAATTAAAGTTTCGAAACACATATACTTTGTTGAACATAACAAACTATAAAATATTTTAACATAATCAATGCTAATTAAAATACTCTAATCTAGCATGATCAGAACATAGCCCCATATTCATCGAATACAATGAAGTTTGAAAAACTAGCCTATGAAGAAGAACTTGATGGTTTTCTTTCCATCATAGAATATAGAAAGGCCGAACTGTTTATGCATGCCGCCAATACCCTTCTTAGGAAAAACATGAGCAGTGTATGGTATTTCTTCTTTTCTCAGCTGACCTAGTGTATAAGCAGCAAAACCAGTAGATATGATCAGTCACCGAGCTACACCAAAAAATTAGCTCATGCACTTATCTTTCAAAGGAATGTCAACTTTGGTGAATATTTCTTCAAACACCTAGTAGTGAAGATCACTAGCAAAATGAAGCAAAGACAAATACCATACATCTAACTTATCTCGCTGTTGATTGTAGATATGCTCGGAAACAAGATCCAGTCCAAAATGCCATTTGATGCCTACCTAAAGTCATTTCCATCCGTGCATACAAGAGTATTTTCTTTGGATCCGATAATTCTGACATGTATGGTTGCTTTTGCTACAATTAATGGTATTTCTTGAAATGATCATTCGACTAGAGAAGCAACAAGCCTCTTTCTTAATGCCAAGATTACTTCTCTTGATAGATTACGTTCTCAAGAACGATCATCCCTTTCACCTTATAAGAAATCCCAAAAAAAGATATAGAACTTGCTCTGACAATTCTGAACTTTCTTGGATCAATATATTCCTTTTATTGGTCAAAGTCTTGATCCTATCTTCTCTTCAGAGATAATGATGCAACAGAACCATTGATATCTACCCAAGTCTCACATAAATCAAAATTCAGGGAGGAACAAGACTTTTCTTACCTAGCCAACTGTGCTATAACTTCTATCCTCACAGATTCTCCTAAGGTCCATTTTAATACCTTAGATATGGACTTCTATCCTCACAGATTCTCCTAAGTTATCCCCTCAATGACCCGTCTACAGGACATTGTTGACACATCGGATCCTCACGATAATACCACTCCTATATCTCAATACAACGTTGATTCAAACTCATCCAAAGTTCTCCAGATAAAAGATTTTATTTTTATCCCTATAAATTCTTCGTTGTTTGGAGATCAATTTTTAACCTAAAACTCTACTCTCAATAATCGGATGATCAACTTCTACATTCTCATTCGACTCATTTTCTTCATAATGCACCTCTCTCATTCACTTTATCTCATCAACTTTTGGAGAGCCAAAGACAAATCACCGCATTACAAGATGCCCAATCTCTTTCTAGCAAAACACTTGAGGCTACCCAAAAACTTCAAGAAAAACTGGTTTCTAGTCGAATTCAGCGCTTTGTCACATCATGGACCATTCAACCAAAGTTTCTCAATAGGTGTCCTTCACTCTTAAGCATAGGACGTAGATAATTTGGATTGAAAAGTCTTAAGAGACCTTCAACTCATCTGTGTGACTACTGACTACCAAAGTTGATGACTTACTTACTACCTCTTAGGATGCTGAGGGGGAGAAATCAAAATCCAATCTTACCAGAAACGCATAGAAAGCAATGAAGATTCCAATTGAAGGGAAGCAAATTCAAACATCAACTTAGGGGGAGCAAATCAGAAGTCAGATTCTGACCTTAGACAAAGGAAAAAAGCAAGATGAAGAATGAAGATGAGGTTGTTGAAAGAAAAGAAAGAAAATATGATGCTTAGAAGAACCAAAGAACTTATCATCTTCATCTACATCCTCTAAAGTTCAACTATGATATACATGACTTTATGTAATCCTCTTTTGATTGAATGTTATAGGTAAAACGAAAAGTTTGTCTATATTATTTCTTAGCATGTATACCTATGTATCTAATTTACACTATCTTATAATTTGAAAGTAAAGAAAAGAATGAAAGAAAAAAAAATGAATAGAATAAAAAAAAGAGAAAAGGAAAAAAGAATCCAAAATGGATCACTAAATTTATGAGTTTAAATTTCTTTTTTTTGCTTATAAGTTTCGGTACCATTTTTTTAGGTGTTTCTTTCATGGCTATCTATTTGTATTATTAACAAATAAGGGGAGATTGTTGGTCTCAACCATCGAATTTATAAATAATACAACTAGCATCTGATCCAACACTTAGAAATAAATTATTATTACTTGTCTTAAAATACTCATATAAGATGTACAACATTAATCGAATAATATACATATGGATTAACATCCGAACCTAGAAGTTTGATGAAGTTCAAAAGCTTTGGATCTTAGTCACCTTCGGATCCATAGCTCAATAAAATGTGAGATCAAAACTTAGATTTGATTATTCTCCATCCGAACGGAAGAATCCGATTGACCTATCTTCATGGTTACTCAATCTTGTTTATCAATAACCCACATTTTATTCTAAGTTATTTTAGAATCTGATGTTCTTACTTCATAATTATTCTACAACTTATATTTCAAAATATAAAATATATGACTTTTCTTTGTAAAAGTCTTATATATTGATCCAAGAATGAAAAACATTTAACAAAATCGAAGACTAGTTGAAGTGAGGTCAAGATCGTCGCGTAAGCGGATTGGTTTATCATCTAACCGAAAGAAGATCAATACAAGATAAAGTCAAATAGTAGTCTGACAAATACTGCTATTGGCATGCCCCATTCTGTAGTGCAAACTTGTCCAACAAGTTTTGTCTCACTAACTCTTCCAACACTCATAGGGTATGGGAACATACTTAATATTTTAGCCAAAATAAGTTCTAAAACAATATTTTATTAGTGCTAATACTTTACTTACCCTTCCCTTTTCATACAAAAGGATGAGATAGGTTAACAAGTGTTTGCATCAACCACAAAGGACTGAAATGAAGAGTACAAACATACATGAATCAACAAATTAGATGAAGACACGTGTTAAAGTTGGCCATAGTAGCATTTAATGCAATGGTGACTATAAAAGATCACACTTTTCATTTGTTGCTACTCACCATTTTGGAAGAACTTCCAAGTGATATTTTCTCAGACAAAATCAGTGTCACTATCTGAAGAACCATCTTAGTTCTTTAGATCTGAAGGATTACCCTTATTTCTCACTCTTTCAGTTATTCGCAAATTTGTCATTAGTCAGATAATTTAGGATCATAGGTCCTTAGCTTCCTAACTTCTACAACATATCTGTAATTATTTGTTTTAAATACAAATATATAATTAAAAGTGAAAATTTTATTGTATTTGTATTCACCCCCTTCTACAAACACATTCTGTATAAGTCATTGTATCGCAGGAACAACAATATCAATATAAAATCTTAAATTGGGTTTCTTTTATATTTTTTGAATTTGATCTACCTATAAAAATAAAATAGAAAAAATTAGCAAATTAGAAAAATTACAATATAAAATCATTGTCTTTTTATGATTTTGAACTATAAAATATTATTAAAAAAATATTGGTAATTAATACTAAAACTTAGAACTATCATGTTATTAACAGAAAAATGACGATGATTCATACATTTTTTTACTATCACATACTAGTAAATTTTATAAAACTTAAAAGTAGAAACAAAAATTTTATAAATTAAAAAAAAATTATATATAATAAATAAACACAACATGTGAAGAAAAGGATTATTAGTAATAAAAGGAAAAAAAATGAAATCCATGGCCTTTAACCCTTGATCTCACACAAGTGGCCAAAAGGTGTTAACCATCAAGCACAACATCATATATGGTTTTTAATGCTTATATAATCTTTGTTATTTGAACCACAGGGGCCATTCCCCCTTTGGCCTTCATTGTGTTACATTCTTATTTGGTCCTTAAGTTTTATAAAACAGTCTATTATGTAGATAACGTAATGTMCAATAAACCCATTTTTCTTGTAATATACTATTGTTAATAGGTGAAATACGTTTGTCTATGACCATCATGTACTTCTTTTTCTAATATAAAACTTAAAGTCCTTTTACAACATAAACATTCAAAATAATCTAGAAATAATGGTCATAGACCCAACACATTGTTCTCAGTTCTTGGCTTCATCAATTTCTTGATCCTTATGTTTTCCCATTTCAGACTTTACTTGTAACTCGTGATCTTCATCTTCTTTTGAACTAATAGTGGGAGCTGTGTATGAAGTCCCAAGAATATTGGTGGAGGTGGTGATGATGGTTGATGTATCCTCTTTCCTAATCTCAAGTAGTTCTGAGTTTGTTGAAGACAAAAACTTAGGCGGTCTTTTAATGTCTTTGCTTTTACCCCATAGCACCATGTACAATCCAGCTATAATTATCGTTGATCCTAACACACTGTTGACACTAATATATTAACTTTTACGTCTTAAAGAGTATATCATGTGTACAATAATATACATTCATGTTAAGCTTACCTTCCTACGTGCAATTGTTCGCCCAATACTAGAGATCCCGCTATTGCTACAAGTACAACCACCAATGGGTTGAAAGACGAAACAAACAATGGGCCTTGCACTCGTACACATGACATTATGAATGTAAATGTAAGTCCTGATGCTAAAACTCCCTGTGCACATATACAAGTAAAGTTGTTAGAATCCTACATCGGTTAGATATGGATCATTTATTCTCAATATATGTTGGAACCTCCATTCTCTTTTTAAGGAATCTTTTGGGGATTAATTTAGTGGGATGCCACATATTTTCACATAAGAGCCATGATTACCGCTCCATAACGATTTCTACTTATCTAGACGCTCGCTCATCTAGCCTCTCCCGAGACTTTGGGACAATTTTGGGATAATTTGCGTCTATCTAGCCTCCACTGAAGATGCATGTTATAGTCTCACATCATCTAGACTTGAATCATTTCTCCTTTAGATATGTTGGACAACCCTTCTCTCCTCAAGTGCTATTTTAAAGTATAATCTAGTAGGTTCCATATATTCCCACAAAATCAAATATCCGAAGATTCGCATCAAGCAAAAAAAAAATCAAAACACACATTAGCAATACCAAGAGTGTCACACACTGGAAATCAAATGATAGCGATGGAAAAGACGTCTCAAGAAAGCCATATAATACATCGAATATGATCAAACCATAAAAAAAGTATCACTTAAGTTTTTTCCCCTCGAAAAGGTCAAAGCTCTTTAGCTACAGAAACACATTATTTGGAAACATGGTTCAAGTCACAAATAACAATTAACGAATGAAAAGTATGGTATTAAGCTATGTAGGTAAAACATTAATTACCAGATAAAGAACTGTAAGCAATCGAATGTTCCAACCGAGCTTCCATTGGCTCCATCTTCTCTCATTACATATAGCAAAAATAAAAGATTGTATGAATCCAATCATGCTTATTAGAGCCGTGCTTGAGTAATCGCATGGATACCTCTCACTCATCTTTGCCTGTATTACATCGCATTACAGGATTCTAAACGTTTTAGTTTATGACTTGATTTGTCAAAACAAATTAAAAGTTATTTAATATAATAAGCTTATTCTATAAATTTAAAAGTTTCACGATTTAAATAAAAATATTGATCATTAATTCAAACTATTGGTGATTTCAATGTAATAATTTGTCTATTTTAATGAAATAATTTGTCTATAAGAGAATGATGGGATTGCTACTTAAACTATAACACGAGTTATTAGTAGGTGTGGATTGTATACTACTACAAGTAGTTAGAACTTGAGACGCTAGATGGAGCCATATGGCGAGGGTCAAGGGGGTCCCTTGTGGGGTCTTAGGGCAATGTCCTTGGCAATGGTTTCGCATGTAAGGGAGCAAACACTAAGGATTTTAGTATGAGGCGGTTGTCAGTTGTTATTCATTAGTGTTTACAAAATGTAAACACTTGTGAATTAAGTGCCTCCAGAGTTAGTATTCTCGAGTGATGGGTCATTAGCTGATGATGGATTACCTATAGTGATCGACATCTGCTGATGGGTTTATTTCTGACGGATGTTCAACTCTGATGGATTTATCTGTGACGGGGGACTAACTCTAAGTGATTAGCTGATGTACATCATCATATGATGATGGTTTTCTACAAACGAGATTGTTTGTTGATGAGTATTTAGCACATGGGTGTTTCAATGATGAGTTATCAACTGATGGGAAGTTCACCGTAACTGCTTTCATAATCGTCCCTACTTATTTCCAGCCATCATTTCCGGTTAATTGGGAGTTCTTCTCAATGTTAATATAGAAGCGGTTACATTCTCTTGGTTTATAAGGTAACGATTATAATTAAAATCATAGACTGCATATTTATAATTATCCCTTGAGTTAATTCCATGATACAGAAACAAATTTAGGTCAAAAAAATATAATTTAAAAAAAAACACAAACTTTCAAACAATCCGAAATTTTATTGTTTCCCAACACAAACAAAAGGTTACCTGTATAATTAAAGAAAGTGACATAGAAAGGATAGCAGCTAATGACAGTACAGAACCAATGATGTGATCATTGAAGGAGTTTTGGTGGGTTGATGCCACGTCTCCAACTCTGGGTTGAACTCGTTTAGGCAAAAGGTGGAAATGCGTTGACCAGATGTTTATCGATGGACCTTTATAGAAGGTGAGAAGCATAGCTCCTCCAACTCCCATTAGTGTTCCAATCACCTTCGCTTTCCCTCCCATTTGACCTAAGTTTACACTTTCCAACCTAACCATCAAAACCCTACACATATCAGACTTCTGTTGTTACTTCTTGAATTTGTAAACCAGTAATAAATTATAACTTATAGAGTACTTAAATACTCTTAAATCAGTCTCTTGGTGACAATACACCATGATATATTACAAGAATCAAGTATAAAGATCAAAGAGAAAGAAAAGAAATGCTTAATTATTTTGTAAGTATTATGATAATCTTTAACCTGTAAGCTCCTAAACCTGCTATTGTCATATGTTCCTTTTTTCTACCAGCTATTCCAATTTGTTTCTATTTTCTATGTTGTCTGTTTGATGTTTCTTTTTTCTATCAACTATTCCTATTTTTTATGTTATTATCTGTTGGTTATTGTTATCTACTACTTTTATTGGTTATTTCTACTAATTTATGTTTCTTTTATTGTATGTCGGATATCTTCTACTTCTTTTATATTCTTATTTGCGTAACTATTTATGTTAGCTATTGCTACATGCTTGTGCTGCTATAGTTGGTACCTCTTTATTTATACTAAGATTTTAAAACTACGCTTATTTTTTATACATCTCGACTCCAAATTACGTGATATATATCAAGTACCTTAATTTTAAGTACAATCATTATTGTAAAAAACAATAATAAAATCTTAAGCTATAACTAATAACATGGACTTCCGTTTGTGAAAATTAATGGTTTTAAAATTTTTTGTTTTAACTCTAAAAGTTTAAAATTATACAAGGGTATGAGATTGAAACCTAACTATATTTGATGTTGGAACGAACGGAAGATGTAATGCATAGAAAATGATATACAAGATAATATTTGTTTGAAAACTATTATTGATGATTTTACGTCTACGAATGTTTAAAGAAATTATTTTATATGAATTATTAATGTTTCTTGTATCCAATAATGTTTTTGATGATAAAAATATCATTTGTGTAGATTTTTTTTCATACTATACTAGTTGATGATGATCCTTGTTGTTACAATGCATTTTAGGCATATAAAATGTTAGGAAGGGATATGATCATCTTAATAAGTGTAAAAAAGAATTTAACATTCTAAATTATTAACTGGAATCACCAAAAGCAAATAATCGACTACATATATATGTACGTAGTCGGTAAAAATCATTTACCATAACCTTATGGTATATGTATCATCTCCTATAGTGTTACTGTTTACCAAATTCGTGTGCTTATATTTGGGCAATTATTTGGTTAAATATCATGAAAAACTAAGAAAAGAATACTTATATGTGAATAATTAAAATAATTAGTTTGAAAATGCATATGTATTCTCATATGAATAATATATGACGTTAATTTACATATGCATCTTTAAAAATATATTTTTCGAGTTTTTTCAATGATTCACATATGTACATTACGTTAATTTTTTTTCTTTTTCTTTTTTCACGATATTTGGCTTCTTATTTGATCCTCCACTATCGACAAAACAAAATCTTCCACACCTTTTCAAATGTTAACTTAGCAATTGTTGCAGTTTCTCGTAGATTAAAGAAATATACTAATTAATACGTACGATCAAAGTAGCATATCTCTGAAGTGCAAATTTATATATATAACATAAATAACTTAAAGCCGTTAGTATCGAATGGTATTTACCTGAAGAGAACGGCTAAGATGAAGGTGAAAGGAGGGATAAGATTGGAAAAAGCAGCAGCTAATGTTGGCGAGGTTAGGATTACGCTTTCCGCATACATGATTAGTGCCATAGGACCCCTTTGATATTTCAATCACAAGTTAATATTTTGATAGCATAAATGTTTTTGTTCAAGTTCAATTACATGAGTGTTTCAAACATACACATTGTGTGATCACTATATTTAAAATGCATGTTTTAAAACATTATTTAGAAGAATTTTGATAAAATACAAATTAATTAAGTAGCATGTTACTTCTGGTATATAAATATAAGTTGCTCATATATATACCCAAATAAAGCACAAAGAGCAGCTTGGAGGAGTATCGTCCATGTTAGCTTCGGTCTTTTGTTTCTGCACCAATTATGAGGAAAAAAACTAGTTTAGATTCGAAGTGACTTAAACTTTTATCATTACCATTTTTAGGTAATTAATGAGTAGTAGTACAAGAATATATGGATATCAATTGGAGTCACTGAAGACCATGTTTAATGCAGGCTCCAATTAATTGTAATTTATCTGTGTACCTAAACTGTATTATTATGAAAAAACGAAGATAGGTACCTTTCCACTAAGAGAGCAAGAGGAGCCACCACAATAGAAGCACATAAGAAGCGATAGGTCATCAAAATGCTCAAATTCATTCCATCATTTCCAACAAATATGTACAAGATATTGATCCCAGCTGATATCACTTGCGCTATTATCATCATCATCGTAGCCTTCAATCCCTGTACTCGACTCCATAACCATCTTGATCCACATGTCGATTCCCCCATCTTCTCAACTTTCCGTAGCTCCAAATTAGAATACAATTAATTACTGATCGAAGTGTGAACTTAAGCCATGTATTGGGAATACACACAAGTTTATATATATAGTAGCTCAAGAAAGCTAATTTAGTCAAGAGAATGGTTGTTTTACGTTCGCATCTTTATTGAGTGAAATGAGGAAGTCTTAGGTGGGACGTATGATCGATCACAAGAGTATGACATACGCTAAATTTAAGAAAGAAATGAGAAAAACGAAAGGGAAATTAAATGAAGGTCATCATCTTGTTATTAGAAAGTTATGCAACGAGATAAAAAAATTTGTGTGTATTTGATGATAACAATAATGTTTTACGACATCTTTTACTTTGGCTATATCAAAATAAATGTTAGCTTAATAATGTTGATATTTTACATACGTTAAAAGTGCATCGTATTTTGTTGTTCAAAAAACGAGCGTAAAAAATCTAAACTTTCTTGTTTGAATTAGAATCAAAATAGAGTTCCTCAAAATAAGAACAACGTGCTCTTATGTATAATTTACCCTTAATATTAATAAAGAAACAAGGTACAAGGACAAGAACTTCGTTTTCTCTTATATCCTTTTCTCGTAAAATGCCAACTAGTTTATACAGATTCTAGCCTGTGCATCTCCCTCGTTAAATATTATACGCTATATATAAATATGTTGGAATTTAGGTATATGAAACTAACTTGCACGTACCTGAAAGGGATTGAGTCATGCATGACAGATATAAAAATTAGTAACCATCTTGTTTTTAGTAATAATACGTGAAAAGTAAGATGATTTCTTGAATTGGAGGGTATACATGTGTTTATTGCAAATATTATTTTATATCTTTTTTCTGTTTTTGATTTCAAGCGCACAAATTAAATATGTTAATAAGACGTTTCTTATAATATATTGCGCATCTAGAGATCGAATGATTCTTTCAAATAGGAGGAAACTAGCTCATACTCATTTATTGGGAAAAGAAATTAGAGAAAAATACTGATTAAATATATGATTTTTGAGAAAGGGAATATGTAGAGAGAGACGTTGAAATTCGTGAGAAGTTAGCGTAGGAATGTTATAATAAACTAGTGTATGCACCATGCGTTGCGTGGTAACGATTTTTTTTTTTGTCAAGGAATATGTTAAATTGTAGTATAAGAAACACAATTTATTAATAAAGTAATAAAATACAATATAAAACAATGAATTTACTTAAAATATTTTAGATATAAATTATTTGTATTGTTAGATTTTTTAATATGAAGTTTATCAGGTTTTTTATTCATGGATGGACACTCGACTATTAATTTAATATTCATCATAATGTAAACTTTGTTGGTTGAAAGGTCATATATAAACACAAAATATTTTTCACTTATGAAAGGATAAAAGGTATGAAAGGTAAAAGGATATACTCCCCCACGAATCTTTTACTTCAAACAAAAAACAACAATTACTAGTGTGTTGCAAGGAGATGGTGTTGTCTCACTCATGTAATGCGAGAAAGTTATATATGAATCTATATGATGTGATAAGTTTACTCGTAATGTGTTTATTAAGTTATTTGACTATTTTGATGAGCTAAAAGAAGTTGTTTTTATTAAATATCGTTTATTTGTTTCTAATACAAATATGAGCTCATAAATATTTTTTTGGTGATTATTCACCCTGTAATAGCATCAAAGGAATTTCTCACTAGACATCAAGGTTTAATCCTCATTTCGGTGTTTTTGAAAAATGCATTACAGGTCGGACTCAACCATAAGATAAGGAAAATGGGAAAATGGGAAATTGTGAAGAACTATATTCATCTGCATGGAATATTAAGGATATCATGTTATCTTTTGTATTTGAAAATTTGTGATATTACAAGTTTTGTATAGAGATTTTGTGAAAAAGTTGTTAGCTACTTTGTAAGTAGCTTTTGTAGATAGTGAGACCGAATATGTAAATCATATTTTTTGATATATGGAAATATATGTTTATATGCAAATGTGATCTTGGGATGTTACATAATTTTAATTATTTTTCTCAATCTGATACATTACCGACATTTGTTAATTAATTAAAATCCACCAGTAAATTTAATATAATTTATTTAATCTTTTAAATTTATTGATAGATATTAAATAATTGATTAATTATTTAAATGAAAATGTTTATATAAGTTAAATAAATTATAATACAACAGCGTACGTATCCTTATGCAATTTAATTTTTAAAATTAAAACCATTTTTTATTAAAGTGGATACCGTCACTATCAAAGATCTAGAGGAAAACTCCCGAACATTTGTTAGATGTGTCGAAATATTTAAATTTACTGAGGGATACCGTCGGAAATCCACTGATAATCTAATCAAACTTGATATTTAATAGTTAAGAAAAACATAATTTAAAAAAAATACAGTAGCAGATTTTCGACAGCCTGAATCCACCGGAAACGTCAGATACGCCGGAAAACTAATTTGCGATGACCATGTTTCCAACCGGGAAATCCGCCAAAAACCTCGTTTTCTGGTGAATTTCCGACAGATTTTTCCTTCGGAAATGCCTTGTTGTTTAGTAGTGTTCATCCCCATCCATATTGTTTTCAAAAACCCATTTAGTGCTACGATGATCATGTTGGGTGGTCAAAAAAACCAGTATCTAAACTTTGTTACAATTAAACTATAACAACGATTCTTCTTGCATGCATGACACTGATCTAGCTCAGATCTTCAAGGGCTTCTTTAACTTTCTTTTGCTTGATGAGGCATAAAAAAATGGGCGTACAAATGTCTCAAGTACCATTTCTAGTTCAAATATCACTACAACAAAATTGGACTTATGTTTAAGCATCTTAATTCAATATATTATAGGACTCAAGTTTATAAGACCAAACTATGACGAACAATAAGTTTATATAAACATCTTTTTTATGTGTTTTAACAAAAAAAATTTGGACGTCTTTAAAATAAAGTATCACACTAACATTTTATAGGATGCTATTTGAAAAATTGTCTTATAAACACAAGTATCTATGCTATCTTATTAAGCATCTTTACTCAAAATCTTAAAGTCTTAAAATTTTAAATACCCAAAATACCCTTAACTATAGAACCTTATCCTTTACCTTTACTTTTTCAACCCTACTCCCCTCCCCAGACGCCGGCTCCCCTCCCCAAGACGCCGGCTCCCCTCCCAATACGACGATTGGGGCATTTCTCTCCCTCCCAAGATGACGATTCAGCATATTAAAGCGAGGTTCCAGACAAGTCGTCCCTCTCAATCTTCCATCGTTCCTCCATTGTTCAATCGTTCATATCATCGGGGAGTGAGTGTATTTGATTAGAGAGAGAATAGTTTGTGATCAGCAGTGTTTCCGGCGAACTACGCCGGAAGGAAGTAAGAAATATACAGAAAAGATGAAAAGGAAAAAGAAGGGGGGGAAAAGGAGAGGGTTGAGAGAAAAGGGAAGTTTGGTGACAATGGTGAGTATTTGTAGACAACACCAAATGCGGCAAGCCCCACTCCACCTCCACGGTCACTTTCTCTCTCTGCAAACTCATTCTCTCTCATAGTTTGTGCTTCCATCGTTCAATCCATCTCCATCTCCAGGTAATTATCCATCTCAATTGTTCAAAATTTTCACATACCCATTAGGGTTTTTGAGTGGTAGGAATGCTTGCATTGACCTCATGGTTTAATTTATCACTTCTGTAGAATCGTTGCTTGAAACCCTAAGTCTATTGAATTTTATTATAGGTTGTCAAGGTTTTACAATAAAAATGAAAATTAAGGATAATTGTTGGAATACGTTTTGTTCACCATGACCACCTCTCATCAAACACATTACTAGAAACATGACCATCAAAGATATAACATCTAAGAATTTGTATCTTGACATACTTCGTCATCGTTTTTTCAACAGTGTGATTTAGGCGAGGGATTTAATGTAATCGCTGATGGGAACATTTTTATAGTGATTATTATGACTTGAATAAAGAGTCCATCAAAATACATTTTTAAGGGGGCGTTTGGATGTTCGTTTTGAAGTTCATATTGATTGTGTTGAGGTCGAAAAGCTGTTTATATTGAGTATCTTGCAATCTTGATATCATATACATGTTGCCTTGATAGGTTGCATTTATAAATACATCTTTACTTCTCTTGTTATGCTACATGATTATAAATTAATAGTATGTTTCTATATGATCGTTTATCATGTTTTGCATATGTGTTTGGAATATATATTGATGAAATTAAATAAAGGGCTTTAGTTCACAACTTTGTTTAATTGTCTGACTTTACATTTTCACATAATTTTACTAAAGACATTGTGTTGCTTTGGCTTCATTTTTAACTGTGAATATGGAGTTTTGTAGTAGTCCAAATAGAGAGGTTGCATATTGATTTAGGAAACAATGTGTTATCGTGCGTAAGCTTTCATGATTAGTTTGCGTCTTGTATGTAGGTTTCGTTGATACCAAAGAACGTGGTTCAAATATCTAGATTATCGTTCTGGTTTTTCTATATTTTTTATGATTCTTTTGTTTAGCATTATGGAGTTGCCTTGGGCTCATCTATGTTTCCCTTGCTGTATGATGCACATTATGTAGGTCTTTTTTGGTGGACATGGTCACCTGTTAATATGGTTTGCCGTAGAGTGCATGTGTCAATTGTTGAAGATGTTTTGGTCTATCTGTTTTTATGAATTCTACTATCCTCTCATTTTATCTCATTTCGTCCTTGGGTGTTTCTGGTACTTCTATATCATTTTTCTTCTTGGGTAAATCAGATGTGGAAGGGTAGTTGTTTTTCTGCAGGTTCTGATCTAACTGAAGAAGATAGCTAGCGAATCGTTGGCACTTGTATTTTCCTCCTTGACACTATTCTTTTAATCTCTCATTTCTGAATTGCCATTGTATGTAAGCTTGCATGATGAGATTGTGCTTTGTCTATATCTTCCATTATCTTAAAGACCTCTTTTGCTTATTTGCTAATAGGTCTACA